GTGTCGGCTGTCAGGACAAAATGTTCCCAATACAAAAAACTAACAGTAATTTTATGAATCGCAAAGAATATTGAAGCATAATATAGAAAAGTCGGCAGGTAATGTAGAAACAGTTTTTGCCTAATCCGCCATCAATGGACCATTTGCAATGTGTAGAATAAAGTATGTTCGTGTTTGTGTTCGTTGGGATCATCACTTCAACCGTGTGCACAAACAGGGCGTGTCTTTTCGTGATGCCTATTGCATTCACACACTTTTTCAAAGCTTTTATTATAAGGCTTTTGTCATATGGCCATTTATTATAAGGTAGGGGAACAGTTCTCTGAAAACAGATCCACATCTACCTTATTCTTCCATTTTACACGCTGGCTTCCTAGTCGATATCTGTTGTGTTTCTTCTCCTATGGGCTGGAATAGACGGTTTCGACTCAGCCGGTTTGTCTGACAGGGCCAAACTCCTTTCTTTAATTTCCATATATACTGAGTAACCTGCGCCCCGGCAGAGAACGTAATCGGTTCTACTCGATGCTGCCATTTAACCTTCATTATTCGTCTAAGCCAGTTCAGCTGTATGCAATTGGACTGTCGCTTATGCTCATGCGTTTGAACAGCTGTCTCCATGCCGGACAACAATCTGACTTGACAGAGGCAACGAACGGGCGAACTCTTTTTGTTGTTGAAAGAAATGTTCCTGTATGGGCCAAAATATTCGACAGGTTTCCAAGAGAACTTGAGGCTTAGGGCTGTCCTCTTATTTCACTGTGGCTGAATGGTCGATGGAGATAGTCGGGACAAAGCACCACAACGGGTCAACTTCCTGAACAGCTTTACTTGAAGATCAGTTGTGCCCGAGGGGAGTTTCTTGTATACTATTGACTTCAGCGCGTTAAGAAAGAGGCCTCCTTTCGCAGCTACATTGCACACAGAAGCCTTTTTCAGTCCAAAGACTGATCAGGTTACCAAGGACATTGGACGGGAGATCGATCCTCTTATTTAGCTTTGATTTTAAAGAAAAATAGTGCCTAGTGGAACAGAGTATGGTTTGATTTATACAGACCTTCTACTGAAATGAGAGACTGAAAATGGCCCACAGTATCAGTAAGTTGCGAAGAGTTTAAGGGGTTTGCCTTACAGAACCTCACAAAATTTGCCACTTTCTGAATCCGTTAAGCTTATGGAAAGTTCGGAATACATCAGCAACTTTTTTCAACTTTTTCCGAACGGTATCTTGAATGTACTGCCAAACGTTCACTCGCCAAAAACACCCAAGAAGATAGAAAAATGAAGGAGCTTCGACTTGCGCTCGTGGCGTGACCACGTTAAGAATAAGTCGATAAAATGATGCCCTCCTGGCAGATGCCTTACTCAGGTCTGAACAAGGTCTATGATTGGTTTATTATGTTGGTTGAGGTTTGACGTTCTGAAGCTGAAGCCTCTTACATCACGCTGTGTTAAATGAATGATGCTTTGTAATGTTCTTTTCTACATAGGCGAATGCATTCGCAAAGCCACCTTCTGGCCAGAGTGAAGCATTGCTCTCAAAACGAGATACGGAGCTTGCATTTTTCATATCCGCGGAAACGTCGGCTAATGAGGCAATGACCGTCAACAACGGTTGATCTAACTCCTTTTGTCTCTAAGATAAATCTGCTTAGGAGAAGGGCCTTTTGACAGCGAATCCGGTCTAAGCAATTGGAGCTGCCTATGCATTACTGAACAGGGCACTGTGTTGCACTCCTGTTGCTTGCCCTTTGAACGGACGATAAAGACTTGTGGACAAGATGAGCAGAAGATCTAGAAAATAGTTTATGGATGAACGATTACAAGATATGAAGAAACGAAACAAGTGAAGGTCCTTATTCTCGATCGAGCTTTAATGCACAGATACGGTATCAAGCCCTTACTAAAGAGCATCAGGAGTTGTGCCTTTACCTCACTAACTAACCTGTTCGGTTAGCTACCTCCTTCGAGATATTTCCTCGTTTGATAAAAACGATCTACGAAAACCATGTCCATCAAGGAAGGGTAGGGCGGTCGGTAGTCGAACGGCTAAACGATGAACTCGCGTTTTAGCGTTCGACCTTGGCGGCGACCCGGACCACCGCTATTAAGCCGTAAACGGGGCCGAGGCACTCCACAAAGACCGTAAACGGTACACGATTTGACAGGGAAAACGACGTTTCCGTCGAAAAGTCTGAACGTGGCCTAACTCCGAGAACCCGCAGACACCATTAGACGACAACCTCAAATTTCTGTAGGGCGAAGCTACCGCCTGTCAGTCGTTTGTCGTCGAAACGCTGAGGGACGACCTCCCTCCATCATAGAAGCGGGTAGGCCAAGACCTACCTGAAACAAACAATTTCAGCGATTTCGACCAACGTATGACGATTTAAGAGGAGCTTACTGTTGGGCATGGAGTAAAGTATAGAAGCTGCTGTTTGCATAGTCAAGATAGAAGAAAAATGACATTTTTTCACAGTACATTCTGTCGAACAGCCAAGCCCCAGTAGACGTGTACCCGCCGCTGACTCCGCTACTTAAAAAACAATTGAAAAAATTAAAAAGCTTCCACAATTACAGAGACTTATGCTTATAATGATGGACCAGACAGTGGCTTCAGCCCGGGTATGTCCATTAATATCCTTCTGCGAGAAATTGTCTTCTTTGCCATACGGTAGCCAAACGGAGATTAGACACCACAGTTGCTCAAATTTAGTAGTGCAGATTATTTTTTACATTTTATGTTTAATTTATACATTCAGTCATGTTAGCGACTGATACCGCTGTTAACACAACTATCCTCATTGTAAATAAGTACCTCTCTACTAATTATCAGAGTTCTTGCACCTCATGCAGGAGGAACCCAGACTAGCTGGCCACGAAGACATTGATATTACCTTTCCAGATTTGACCAGCTGATTGGGAGCGTGGAAACGTCCAACTGAAGGGCTGTAGCAAATCGCGCCAATGTTTGAAGCGTAAGGACTTACGCCGTTATGGAACACCTATTCTGCCGGTACGCAGTTCTTGCATTGGAACGGTTTCATACTTTATGTTCTTTTTTTGGCAGTCTTTCAATCCTTATATTCTCTCAGGGATTTTTTCAGGTCAGTGATCGTCAGATGTTGTCTCCTTTAAGAAATGCCTCAGAGATTAATTTCCCTATCTATTATATTTTATCTGTTTGATGTGAATCTTCAGGTATCGATTTCATTTCAGTTACTGATTGCGTAAAACTAGCACCCTCTTGCTTCTAGTCACCTTGAGAGGAGGGGGCACTTTAAGCAGGTGGCGATTCCATGGAGTTTTAACGCCTGCTGTGCGTTGAATGTACGATCGAATCGTTGAGTTGGCTCGAATAAGGGCATGTTCTGGCAGGAAAAATCCTGCCATATCTCATATATAAAAACTCCTTATCGGTTAGCAAATATACAGACAAAATACGATGAAATATAACCGCTTTGTTCGTGGGTGGCCACCATGAATGACAGATTTCCAATTCCTTCGGTATTACTGATGCCGGACTTACGTTGCGTCTGTTTCTAACATTGCACCAACTGCGGTGGTATCAGACGGATGGATGTAAGTATATACGGTTTAACGGCAAAGTTCCCTTGCTTCAAGTCCCTAGGGGGTCATTTAGGTGACGCAACACAACAGGCAACGCATCAGCTTCATGGAATGTAAATGCCTGCGGTGCCTTGGGTGCGGCCACCGCCTCATCGAGTCTAAAAACTCCAGTTCGTTTGTGTATTTAGAGTGAAGTGAATGCTCTCACCACGCAATGCATATTAACTTGCCAGAATAACAACAAAAAAACGATCTGAGGCTTTTGTGGTATTTTCGATCAGTGTGGCACTGGAAGACCTGCACGCGGATCAACTTGAGGCATTCATGCTGCAGAAGTACCCGACTTCGTCATATCCCTTGATCCACCTTCCCACTGATTTGTGAATGGTATCTTCGTGTTGTTTGAAGTTAATGTCTTCCTTGAAGGTGCACATATTTTCAAAGATTCAAAGTCTAGAAGAATCAATTATAATAACAGAAAAAAGAAGATAAAGATCAGGATCGGCTTCATGGAGGTGCAGGTTTTGACGACAGGGTTAAAAGCGAAAAACCGTTGAACTTCGCAGCTTGTCTACACCTTAATACTCCCACAGCTACGTAATCTTGAAGCTTGTAAAGTAACATAATTTAATTTTAAAAATATGAGGCCTTGGTCTCTTAAGTTTGCCGCACAAGCTCCGCTTGTCGCATCAAAAATTTATGCGCAGAAATGGCTGCCGTAAACGAATTATAAAAGATTAGCTATTTATGAAAACCCATTCTTAGAGTTATTATTAAATCCAAGCAATTGAAAAAACAATACTTTATTCATATCCCGTATTTAAAAACTTTGACAACATCAAACAGTATCTGGAGAATGAAGATTTTCGAATCTACTAAATATGGGCGTTTATTAGGGTCGCAGATCAATCGGAAACTTAAGCAGCCTGTTTATGAGCCTGGTTACAGCACCGAGTACCATGACTGCGACAAGATCTGTGCAGGAAAAGCCATACGAGGGTTGAGAAAATGGTAACGAAATGTCTATCGCTCTGAACAATGAGAAAACAGATCATTCCGACATCGGATTCCATGCCTTCTACTTCGGATACTCTTTTGGTATGATGATTGCCACTTCTGTTAATAACAAAAACACATGCATCAA